CCCCCCCCCGCCCCCCCCCCCCCCCTGCCAATGCCTAGCCCTGCCCTGCCCAGCCCTGCCGATTTAAAGGAGACACAGGAGACGGTGCGGCTGTGCAGCCAGCACTGGCACCATGGGCTCTCTGCCCCGGAGCCTGCTGGCCAGCCCTGTCTCCTAGACCTGAGTCCTGCTCCTCCCCGGCGGCTGCTGCCTCCGAGAGCCTCTCCACTCCAAGCCATCAGCCACCCCTCCACATACATCATATGAAAATCTCAGGTAGGATGCTCCCTTTCTGCCTAGGCTTGCCAGGTGTCCAGTATTTTCACTTCCTGTCCGGTAAAAAAATCAGAAAATACCAGACACCTGCAAACCTATGAACACTCAGCCCCCAGCCTCTCCCCCCCAGGTCCCAGCCCCCAACACCCTCAGCCCCAGGAACCCTTTGAAGTCTGTTCCTAGTATATTTCTCTTGTTCATGTTTGCAGTACAAGTAGAACCAAACAAGGATCCAGCGTGCGTGCGCACACACACACACACACACACACACACACACACACACACACACAATATTAACTGTTTTACATTCTTCAAAGAACCACACATGCTGTTTCCTAGATATTTCTTTAAAGAATTAAACTTCGTTGATCTGGGTAAACTTTTGTGTTTGAGGTCTCTATGGCAAGCTTCATTCCATATATAGTTGTATTGGGCACATACAACTCTCCGCTCCCTCTAACACCTCATAAACTTGAATATATAATGGCTACTAACAAGATGGACACACAAAAATAATGTGCAGATGATAACATAGATGTGTTGGAGCCACATAAGGAGCCACTGCATTCCAAAACAAATCTAGTTTAATGATACAACTATTTATTGATTTACTTTAGATGTCTTATGTGCTATAGTTACCATAATTGGTTGACAAGTATGTTAAAACAAGTATTGTTAGCTGATTGTAATTGGTTGGAAGATTGATTAAGTATAGCCATAAAGAATGGCTATGTCTAGATTTGGCTATGTCTAGACTGGCCCCAAATTCCGGAAAAGGGATGCAAAGCAGGTAAGTCAGCATAGGGAAATCCGCGGGGGATATTTAAATCCCCCGCGGATTTAAATAAACATGTCCGCCGCTTTTTTTCCAGCTTGGGGAAAAGCCGGAAAAAAGCGTCTAGACTGGCCCCAAATTCCGGAAAAGGGATGCAAAGCAGGTAAGTCAGCATAGGGAAATCCGCGGGGGATTTAAATATCCTACTTCAAAGTAGGAATAAGAGATCCTCCGGAATAGGGCTTTATTCCGGAGGATCGGGCCAGTCTAGACGTAGCCTTTGAGTTTTAGATGTGGCACAAGTTCTTCCTTCTATTTTTGGTACTTAGTTAAGGAAATATAAACTATTTGTGGTAATAGTTTTTCATGCATTCAAACCACAATAAAAAAGTAGCCTATTATATAAGAATAATAAAGTAGAGATTTAAGGTACATTTCCCACTCTTGAAAAAGAGCTTGGTGTGAGCTAGAAATCTTGTCTCTGTCACCAAAACACAACAACAACAAAATTGCAAAGTACAAACGTGTAAAAGCCAACAAAGGGGGGGAGGCAGCCAAAAATGTTTTTGCTTGGGGCAGCAAAAAACCTAGAGCCACCATGGTCTTGATTACGACACCAAGATGAAGGAGGGCCACTCATGCGGCCCACTCACTAGCCTCGTTTGCCCCTTGCTGGTCTAAAGCGATGCCAAGGAACCTAAGTGTAACCTGGCAGACAGCCTGTTTGCTGGTTTAACAGTTACCGCCACATCTAAATTGTAGACTTGTGGAGAGCACCACCAGGGACCAAAACCACAGTGTGACCAGCTAAAAATCTGGGCTGGGGTGTGTCGCATTTAGCTGTGGAATGTTTCTGTGGCTGGTTTTGTGGCATCACGCTGTCCTCTGTGCTGAGTTTGCAGTGGGGGCATGGTACCACGATGGATAGTAGTTTATCCCGCTATTTAAGCTAACCGCATTGTGCAGCTACTGTTTCAGTGCACCGTAGCTGTGAGGATTTCTCTACGACGAATAGCTGCTTTATTATAAATCAGTCTTTTAGGGCCCTTTTCTTCCTGGTTTCAGGCCCTTTCTTCTGTTTATTCAGACAGTCGCTACATGTTTGACCCTCCGTCTCCACTGGCATTTAATTGGTTCTCTGAATATTCAAGCTTTCAAGGGAATCCGCTCGTGTCTAGTCTCCTTATTAACATATGGAAATCTGCCCTCCAAAGATTGCAGGGGAGGAAAAGGGTACTCTAGGGTGCGTTGTGAAATACAAGGCTGCCCTTTCTTCTGTTTATTCAGACAGTCGCTACATGTTTGACCCTCCGTCTCCACTGGCATTTAATTGGTTCTCTGAATATTCAAGCTTTCAAGGGAATCCGCTCGTGTCTAGTCTCCTTATTAACATATGGAAATCTGCCCTCCAAAGATTGCAGGGGAGGAAAAGGGTACTCTAGGGTGCGTTGTGAAATACAAGGCTGCTGAGAACAATTAAATTAGAGAGGGGCTTAAGGGAAACAGCTCAGCTCTGGATTTCGAATACCCAAAAGTTCATTAGCATCGGCGAGATCCAGATTACTTGGTTCCGAATTGTTTCTATGACGACTCATTGTTTGACATGCATAATAAAAACCCCAAGGCAAGTAAAAAGCAAAATCACATTTGTCATTTCCTTTTTAAGGGACAAGACTGTTTTACTTTGCACTTCGTTAAAATAGAATATGCATGGTCTCTTCCAAACAGGAAGATCCCAGAATATCTGTCATGTTCTTAATGTTCCAAACTATCCAGGATGATCACAATGACGTTAAACCATCACCCCTGAACTGTTATTTTATTTCGCTGTTTAAAGAAGTTACTCGATGGCCCATCTTTCGTTATTCATCGTTTTAAACGTAGCTGCAGATTTACTTTGGGAAGGTGGCCAGAAAAAGAGCCAGCACAGCATGCATGTAAAAGGCAGAGTCTGGAAATTGTTCTTTTTCCTCTCAGATGGTCCGTCCGTACTTTGTGAATATGGCAGACTGCCAGCTAGCTCTCCCAGGGTTATGTCTAGACTGCAGGGGAGTTTCTGGATACCGGAGGTATCCCGAAAAAACTCCACCGCATCCAGGAAATGTGTTTGCTCTTTTGCTTTTTTTTTTTTTCCAGCAGTGCATACGTGCTCTTTCAGAAGCCTCTGTCTTCCTCTTTCCACGAGGAAGAAGGGATCTTCTGAAAGAGGGTTTTTTCCCCGAAATTTGGCCCAGTGTAGACAGGCCTCTTCCGGAA